TGAAGAACTCAAGGACAGTGCCCAGGCCCAGAGTTCAAGCCCCACAACCGACAAAAAAACAAAACAAAAACTAAGTCAAGCTGGACACCAATAGCTTACACCTGTAATCCTAGCTACTCAGAGTACTAGGCAGGAAAGTCCATGAGATTCTTACTTAATCGCCAGAAAACCAGAAGTGGGGCTGTGGCTCAAGTGATAGAGCACAAAGAGGCTCGGGGGCAATGCCTAGGCCCCAGTTCAAGTCCCACTACCAGCCAAAAAAGAAATGTTAAAATTATAGCTCATCATAGTAGTTTTACGCAGTTTCTCAGTACTTGTAAATACTTTTGTACACCTTTCTATCTTTGAACTGTGTCCATGTGTTTTTTTTCCTGTATACTTTGTGTCTTCCTGTTTGGAAAAGAATAGTAAATATTAATGACTAAAAGAAGTTTCCAAGGCTACAGTACATCATTCTCATTCAGGACATACATTCTTGAGGCCTAAGTACAAAGTGCTTTGTTTTTCCTGAGATCCTTCTTGATGAGAAGTACTATATGTGAGACAAAAAGGAAAATCCTGCTTAGATAACCTACTGGAAATTAGTGAGCAGGATTCATTTAGAATCATTTAAATATTATCGTCCCTTAGCTATTGAAGGAATGGTCTAGCTGGGTGCCTAGCTACTCAGGAGACTGAGAACTGGAGGGTTGTCATTCTGGGTCAGACTGAGGACTAGAGGCAAGCTTCAAGTAAAAATACAGGAACTGGTGGGAGCAAACAAGCCCGGTGAGAGCATGAAGCACAAAAAAATTAAGGAATGATCTGGAAAAAGACAGTCTCAGTGTGTGTGTGTGTGGTGGGGGAGGGGGGATGAGAGGGCAGGGATGGAAAGGGGAAACAAAGGAGGAGGCAATAATGCTTGATAAGAAACACACTCATTACCTTGCTCAAGTAATTGTAACCCCTCTGTACGGTATTTTCACAATAAAAACTTATTAATAAAGAGTCTCAGTGCCAAAGCCATTATAAGTCCTAAATTTTTAGTTATGGAACTTAGAAGTTTATTTTGTTTTATTTGAGATCGTCTATGAAGTCCAGGTTAGCCTAGAACTCACCCAGGCTGGGCAGGAACTCAAGATTGTCCACCTTCAGCTCAGCTTGGATAATTTTTTTTAAGCTATGTAGAGGACAGGGCATGTTCATGAATGAATGAATGACAAAAACTACATGAAAACTTAGGATAAAACTATACCTTGTAAGAAAACGAGATCTCTACTGTGTAGTTACTTTGTGTGCTTGTTATGTTTCTAGTTAACTAGTGGAGCTGTGTGGGTTCAGTTTAATGATGGCTCACAGTTGGTTGTCCAAGCAGGAGTATCTTCTATCAGCTACACCTCACCAAGTGGCCAAACAACTAGGTAAGTTCTTTAAATGTTGGTTGAACTGCAACCTTTTCCTGTAAGTTTGCTCTTGCTGTATTAATATAAGTGATTAATAAAGCCACTGTTCTTGTTTGTGTTTTTTGTCACGGGGACTGAACTCATGGCCTGGTCACTGTCCATGAGCTTTTTCTTTTTCTTGGCTCAAGGCTCTACACTTTGAGCCATAGTGTCACTTCTTGTTTTTTTTTTTAATGGTTAACTGGAGATAGGAGTTTCATGGACTTTCCTGCCTGGGATAGCAGCAAACCACAAACCTCAGATCTCAGCCTCAAAAGTAGCTAGGATTACAGGCGTGAGTCACTGGCGTCCACCACTATCTTAATAGTTATATTCTCTAAAAACTTCATTATTCTTCACAGCTCAATCTTTTAAGTATGTCTTTTATGATTACTGATTATTTACATTAATGCACAGAAGTTGGTATGAGTAACCTTTTCATAATGCACTTGAATGGTTAAATTCCTTATCACCTTATGATTCTATAGAAGAGGCTGACCCACAAGGGAAACCTTTTGTTACATGTGTATATATGCAGTACTGTCCCTAAGAACTACTCTTATAGTGAGTAGTATATATAACATGGAAACAGTAATCTTTTTATTTTATTGTTGGTTATGGGGCTTGAACTCTGGCCCTGGGCGCTGTCTCTCAGCTCTTCAGCGTAAGGTGAGTGCTTCATCACTTGAGCCACAGCCCACTTCTGGTTTTCTGGTGGTTAATTGGAGACAGAGTCTCATGGACTTTCCTGCCCTGGCTGGCTTTGAACTGTGATCCTCAAATCTCAGCCTTCTGAGTGGCTAGGAAAACAGGAGTGAGCCACCAGTGCCCGGTTTCTGTGGTCATTTTTGAAACTTAACATTTAATAGAAGTGATTTCAATGAATCCAGATTTACAGCTTTAGAAATCAAAATCCTTTTTTATATAAAAGCCTGTTATTTAAATGTTTAGAAATTAATGCCTGTATCCTAACTACTCAGGAGGCCGAGATAACAGGATCATGGTTCAAAGCCAGCCCAGGCAGAAAAGTCCATGAGACTCTTTTTGTCAGTCGTGGGGCTTGAACTCTGGGCCTGGGCACTGTCCCTCAGCTCTTCAGCTCAAGGCGAGACCTCTACCACTAGAGCTACAGCGCCACTTCCGGCTTTCTGGTGGTTTATTGGAGATAGGAGTCTCATGGTCTCTCCTGCCCGGGCTGGCTTTGAACCGCGATCCTCAGATCTCAGCCTCCTGAGTAGCTAGGATTACAGGCATGAGCCACCAGCGCCCCAGCGCCCGGCTTCCATGAGACCCTTATCTCCAGTTAAACACTAGAAAACCAGAAGTGGAGCTATGGCTCAAGGCAGTAGAGAGAAAGCTCAAGGACACTGCCCAGGTACCTAGTTCATTACTGATAGGAAAAAAGAAAAAATGGGGTTTGCTTCATTCATACAGGTATCTATTCATAAATAATTGTATTGTTTTTCTTCAGATGCCTGTATCACTGAAGAAAGCATTACTTAAAAATATAATGTGGTTTTTAAAATATTGTTAGAACCAAGTTGTTTTTATATTTCTCTTTGCTTCACTTAGGTATGGAGAAAATGAAAAATTACCAGAATACATCACACAGAAATTACAATGTCTTTCTTCCATCCTTCTGATGTTTTCCAATCCTTCTAGTTTTCATTGATCAAAAAACTTCTTTTAGATGTCTATATTTAATAAACAACTTTTTGGCTGGCTTTCATATCAAGTGATTTTTTAATTTAATATAACTTTCGAAAGCCTTTCTAATAAGAAGAATGGAATTTGAGTTACCAAATACAGTGGTCATAAAGTAAAATAGGGCTCCTTATACCCCAGTTTATTGTAGTCATATATTGGTATTGAACAACTGGTTTTGTTTTTTTTTAAGTGTGTGTCAGTGCTGGGGCTTGAACTCAGGGCCGGGGCACTATCCCTGAGCTTCTTTAGCTCAAGGCTAGCACTCTACCACTTGAGCCACAGTGCCACTTCCAGCTTTTTCAGTTTATGTGATACCAGGGCTTCATGCGTGCTAGACAAGCACTCTACCACTAAGCCACATTCCCAGTTCCTCAAACAAGTCTTTAAAGCAAAAATATAAATGATGTGTGATATGCTGTGCTTTTTTATTGGCTTCCCCATTTTTCAGATGTATTCAGAGTCATGGACAAAATGGGCAATAGTTTTGGCATTTTTGGGTGTGTAAATAATGTACATTTGTTTTAATTAACATAAATATATATTTTGTATTTATTTTTGTAGCACCAGTGTCTGATGAAACATGTTTGCAATGTACTTTGTAAAAAATGATAAATATGTTTTTTTATCTTTTGATTTAATAAATATTTTGAAGTACTAAAAATTGCTTTTAAATTACATTAATTTAAAATTTTAGTTTTGTTAATTAAATATTAAGTATTCTGAAAGTGATGTTACTTAAATACGACAGCCTAATATTTCTGATGGTGTGTATTCCAGAAGGTTTTGGAACTATTTCTATTAAGTAGGCAAGTATACAATCACCATTCCTGAGCAATTTTTTGGGAAGGGTTTTACCTAAGCAAATAAGTTGCATATTTAATTTTTTAACAGCCTAATAGAAAAATGGAGAAGGTAGTGGATAGTTTGAAAGGAAGAAATCCATATGATGAAAAATACAGAAACAGTACAATCTCATTAATGGTGAGGAAATGCAAAATTAAACCAAGAGAATCATTACTGTTATCAGAGTTGGTAAAATGAAAATAAAAACCCTAATGTGTCAGGGCACAGTAGATTATGCCTGTCACCCTCCCTACTCTGTAGGCTGAGATCAGGAAAACTGCTCTTTGAGGCCAGCCCAAATGAGTTTGAGAGATGCCCCATTTCAATCACTTAAACATCTCAGCATGGTGCAGTAAGGGAGGAAAAATAGAATCCCTGTCTAGGTCAGCCCGGGGGTAATGCAAGCCTCTATTTGAAAAATACCAGAAGCAAAAGAGGATCAAAGCATGGCTTAAGTAGTAGAGCGCTTAAGCACAAGACCCTGAATTTAACCTCCATCTTACTTTATTTGTGCTAGTCCAGGAGCTTGAACTCAGGTTCTAAGTAATGCTTTTTTTTTTTTTTTTTTTGCTTAAGGCTAGTGCTTGACTTACTTGAGCCACAGTTCCACTTCTAACTTTGCTGGCTAACTGGAGATGAAGAGTTCACATCCCAGGCTTGTCTTCAAATTGTGGCCCTCCTATCTCAGCCTCATGGGTAGGATTACAGACACCAGCCATAGGCTTCTGTTGCTTTACGTTTTGTATTTCAAAATGCAATATCTGCAGACTGGCACCGAGTTTGTCTAGCAGACTTACAACTAGGAAAGGCCACACAGCAAGTGCTTTTCCCTATCTTGGCTTTTTTTTTTTTTTTTTGTCAGTCGTGGAGCTTGAACTCTGGGCCTGGGCACTGTCCCTGGAGCTCTTCAGCTCAAAGCTAGCACTCTACCACTTGAGCCACAGTGCCACTTCCAGTTTTCTGGTGGTTAATTGGAGATAAGAGTCTGACAGACTTTGCTCCCTGGGCTGGCTTTGAACTGCAATCCTCAGATCTCACCCTCCTGAGCAGCTAGGGTTATAGGTGAGAGCCACTGGCACCCAACTCTTGGCTTACCCTTGAATCCCCCCATGCCTCACAGAAAAGGCAACAAGTCTTTTGTATACCACTCCCAGGAGGGTGATGGTGAGCACCACGATTCCGCACACAAGGCTGAATGCCCACCGTGGTCCCAAGTAAGTATACACGTGGCTGATGAACACAGGCCCAAGAATCCTTGCTCCGCTTCCAGAAGCTGTTAGCCAGCCCATGTACACACCCTGGTTATCCGGTGGGGTTGGGGAGAAGGGACAGAAAAGTATTAGAGTTTAGTTAGTTTAATGCTGCTATTATCAAACTGGCTAACATAATCACTTTTTCTATACTATTTAAGACAAAATGCCTCTCAATAAAAAACGTATTTCAAAGCCAGGTGTCTGCAGTCCTAGCACTCAAGAGTCTAAGGCAGGAGGATGATGAGTTCCAGGCCAACCTGGATTACATAGCAAGACCCTACTGCAAACACTTCAGTGAGTACATAAGCCTATATCACAGTCAAAGAAAAATAATTCAAGGACAGAGCTGGGAAGGTGGCTCAGTGAGAGCATGCTTGCCTAGCATGCATGAAGCCCTGGGTTCCATGACTCAGACCACATAAACTGAAAAAAGCAGAAGAGATCTGTGGCTCAAGTGGGAGAGCGCTAGCCTTGAGCAAAAGAAGCTCAGGGACAGTGCTCAGCGCAGAGTTCAAGCCCCAGAACAAAATTCAGTAAAAATGACTTTAAGCTCAGGATCACTGAGTTCAACACACGTTTAAGTTGTATCCAATATGCATTATCATGCAAGCACTGCAAAAATTATTTTGCCTGTATTCCTGGCACCAGGGAGGTTGATGAAGGGGAGAGGTGGAGGTCAGCGAGATTCCACAGCAAGTTCCTAGCTAGCCTGAATGACATCAAGAGCTTGTCTCAAAAACAAGGTTGTTTTTCAGCTTTAAAATGCTAAACATGATTAAAAAATCCCTCTGCCTGGGAACTGGAGGCTTGGCTCAGGTTGTAGATTAACGGCCAATGAGCACGAGCAAAAGCATCAGATAACCCAGAATTTGAGTTCTGGTCTCAGACCAAAAAAAAATCCTCTGTCTGTGTAAAAAAAAAAATAGAGGATGGTAGCAAGAAATGTAAGTTCTACAAGTCTATTTCACATAACTTCTCAACTTTCAGGAAAAGGATACCTGAGGTCTGGGTCCTATGATTTTCGAATACAGTGTGTACGACATGACATTGCAGGCTGGGTAGCCTATGCCCAGCAGCCCAGCTGAGGTGAGGAGCTGGGCCAGATGGATCACCGGGGTATACAGGCACCAGGCTTGCTCAACGGGGCAGCCAGTTGGTGGTTCATTCTGACGTTCGCTGGCAGATTTCCAAAGACCAATAATAGTTTCCCCAAAGGTAGTATTAGGAACTGAATTATTATGTAAATCTGTAAAAACAAAACCGTACAGTGAACAACTTGTTAGTTTACATAATGAACAAGACTAGCAGGTTAATGTCAGAAATGTATGGCTGTACCTTCCCACTGTACTTTAGGCAGTTGACTTCCCCAAGGTAACAGGATAAGGAAGCCTGCCAGTACAACTGTGAGTCCTCCCAGCAGAGCAGCACGCTCTCCAATCCTGTTCACGAACAAAAACCGATTTTTAAATGAAATACTATAACAGCTCTATTACTTTTGTAGCTTAAAAAAATAACTTGTTAGATACATATACATAATTACAACACAAGTGCTTTATAATATTTATTATAAAGGTGATATACAGAGGGGTTGCAGTTACAAAAGTCAGGTAAAGAGTACATTTCTTTTTGGACAATGTCACCTTTTTCCTCCCTGTTTCCCAGTGATTGTTAAATATAATTCCCTACTAAAAGCAACCAAAGCCACTTGTGATGGTGCATACCTATAATCCTAACATCTGGGTAGGGAGAGGCAGGAGGATCAGAGTTCAAGGCTGGTCTGAGCAACATAATTGACACTGTCTCAAAATAAATTAAAAAAAAAAAAAGCCCAAAGGCTATGGACATAGCTCAGTAGTATGCAATGTAGCATGCACAGGCCCTGAGTTCAATTCCTAGCATAATGGTACACACCTGTAATTCCAGTGTATTTAGGAGACTGAGACAGGAGGATTGAGACTGAGACAGGAGGATTGAGAGTTTTAAGGCCAGCCTGGCTACACAGGATTTTGAGACCAGCCTGGGCTACACAGACAGTGCCAAACAACGACAACAAAACCTGAGTCTCTCTGAAAAATCACTAATTGATTTATTTATTGGTTGGTTGGTCATGGGGCTTGAACTCGGGGTCTGGGTCCCTAAGTTCTTCAGCTCAAGGCAAGTGCTCTACCACTTGAGCCATAGCACTTCTGGTTAATTGGCAATAAGAGTATTACAGACTTTCCTGCCCAGGCTGGCTGAACTGAGATTCTCAGATCTCAGCCTCCTGAGTAGCTAGAATTAAGGCATGAGCCACCAGTGCCCAACTTAGTTAATTTCTTTTTATATCAAGAAACAAAATATATATCTTAGGTCATGACTGTTAGCTAAGAAAAAAAGGGGCTAAGCTGATTGTTAAAACAAAACAACCAGGCACCAGTGGCCCATGCTTGTCATCCTAGCTACTCAGGAGGCTGAGATCTGAGAAACGCAGTTCAAAGCCAGCCTGGACAGGAAAGTCTGTGAGACTCTTATCTCCAATTAACCACCAGAAAACTGGAAGTGGTGTTGTAGCTCAACTGGTAGAGCACTTGCCTTGAGCTGAAGAGCACAGGGATACCAGGCCCAGAGTTAAAGACCCACGGCCAAAAAAAAAAGAAAAAAAAATGTGAACACCAGAAAAAGAACTATGGGAGCAGGGCAAATGTATAGGATGAACCCGGGCTACACACTGAGTTCCAGGCTACCCTGGGCTACAAATGACAGTCCCTCAACCCGCCCCCCCCCCCAAAAAAAAATGTCTCACACCAGTAATCCTAGCTACTTAGGAGGCAGAGGGGATTCAAGTCCAGCCCAAGCAAAAAGTTCATAATCAATAGCTAGGATGATGGTAAACATCAACTGTCCCTCAGCCATAGTGGGAAGTGAAAACAGGATCATGATCCAGGCTGGCCTGAGCAAAAAGCAAAATACTATCTCAAAAACAGCCAGAGCAAAAGGACCGGAGCCATGGCTAACGTAGTACAGTGCCTGCTTAGCAATTGCGAATCGAAGTCAAACCTCATGGTGCCTCTCCTAAAAAGGTAAGGATGTAGCACAGTGGTAGTATGTTTGCTAGTAAACATGAGGCTGTGGGTTCCATTGCCAGTAACAAAAATGAAAAGACATGAGACTGAACTGAAATATACTAGTTTTATAATCTAGGAGTTGACATTCTCTTACAGTTAGTGCTTGGGAATGAACCCAGGGCCCTGCTCTTGCTAGACAAGTTCTCTACTACTTGGGCCATATACCCCCAAGTCCTACTTGAAGCAGTTCTCTGCTTCACAGTTACCTTCCTCAGAATTTAACTTTGTCATGATGATGATAAAGTATTTATAAATTGAAAACTTTAAAGTTCTAGAGTAAGTTCAGTAATTTTATGAGTTTATCTTGAGACAGCGTCTTCATAGCTTAGGCTGGTCAGGAACTCATGACCATCCTTGTCTCTTACCTCTGGAGTAATTCAGTAATCTTTTGTATTGCCTTTTTGTTGTTGTTGTTGCTCACAGGACTTGAATTCAGGGCCTGAGTGCTGTCTTGAGCTTTGTATTCAAGGCTCAAACTCTAACACTTGTAGCCACAAAGCCATTTCCAGTTTAGCTGGAGATAAAAGCCTTACGGACTTTCCTACCTGGGCTGGCTTTTTTTTTTTTTTTTTGGTTGGTCATGGGGCTTGAACTCTGGGCTTGGGCCTGTCACTGTGCTCTTTAGCTCAAGGCGAGCACTCTACCACTTCAGCCACAGCACCACTTCCAGTTTTCTAGTGGTTTATTGGAGATAAGGGTCTCATGGACTTTCCTGCCCAGGCTGGCTTTGAACCACGATCCTCAAATCTCAGCCTCCTGAGTAGCTAGGATTACAGGCGTGAGCCACTGGCATCCAGTCATTATTTTGCTTTTTTGACACAGGACCCCATTAACCCAGAAGGGCAGGCCTACTGCTCCCAAGTAGCTGGGGTACAAGTGTCTATTATAATTTCAGTTTGGTAATCTTAATCAGAATCTCCAAATTTAACACAGTGGTTGCAAAGCATATATTACCATATACAAGGATATTATTTTGTAAAATAAACTTCTAGAAATGCTTTTCAAGAACCATAAGGGGCTAGGAATGTGGCTTAGTGGTAGAGTACTTGCCTATGAAGCCCTGGGTTCCATTCCTCAGTACCATATAAACAGAAAAAGCCCGGAAGTGGTACTGTGGCTCAAGTAGTGGAGTGCTAACCTTGAGCAAAAGAAGCTCAGGGACTGGCCAAAAAAAAAAAAAAAAGAGAGAAACATAAAATATAAAAGATACGAGACAAGTATTCCCTATTTAAGATATTTTGCTTTATCAAAGACATGCTATGGAATATATGAATGGCATGTAATCTCAATAAATACACATCCCTCTGCAAACTTTTTTTTTTCTTTTTTTGTAATTGAACTTGATGGCTAGGTACTGTCCCTGAGCTGTTGTGCTCGATTAGTGCTCTGCCACTTTGAGCCACAGCTCCACTCTGTTTTTCTAGTGGTTAACTGGAGATGAGAGCCTCATGGACTTTCCTGCCTAGGCTAGCTTCAAACCTCAATCCTCAAAACTCAGTCTCCTGAGCAGCTAGGATGACAGCAATGTTTATAAACTTTCAAGGACTGAAACATACATAAAGGAAAAGCTTTAAATTATTTTTAATACATTTACAATGTTAGCTTTATTTCATATTTTTTTAAATATAGATTTGATCTGGGGGCCAGGGACTCACATGCAGAAATATCCATGAGACTCTTCTCTAATTAATCACATCCACACAAAAGCCAGAAGTGGAACTGTGGCTCAAGTGGTAGAGCACTAACCTTGAGCACAAAAAGAAGCTCAGGGACAGTGCCCAAGCCCCAGGACTGTCACGTGCACATGCACGTGCACACACAACCCCCCCCAAAATAAACTATAGATCTGAAACAAATCCAAAAGCATTTTAACTTACGTTTTTGAAAGTAATTTAACTCCCATGAAAATAACAACTGCTTCAACTCCAAGAGCAGCAAGTATTATTCCACCATACAGCACAGCCTGCTCCTGGGTCCAGCCGTACATATCCATGGTCAAAGGAGTCAGTATCCTAAGAAAAACAAAAAATAAATTATTGTCTTATTAAATTCTGTGACTTAAAATTGAGTATAAAGATGAATAATGCCTACCCATTTGAGGATTTACATCTAACAATGACACTGGCCTATTTTGAACTCTGCTTGGGCAGTCCCTGAGGTCCCTTATGCTCAAGGCAAAAGTAAATTTTAAAAGCTACCATCTTTTCAAATCAGAATGGTTTCGGTATTTCTGAGAGCCCCTCTGTGGTAGGCTTTGTTCTCCCTGTTAAGGAAGTGAGCGTGTTTCTAGCTGCTCAGCACGGCTTCTCTTAGCCAACAGATTGTTTTCACCGAAATTCCCATGTACTAGGGGAAAAGGTTGAAAGGGTGATATCAAGATGTGGTGTGCTTATAAATGGTAACTCCTTTGTACGACTATTCAAAAGTAATATAAATAGTAAACATGCTGCTAAACTTTTCTAAAGCAAATACACTGTGAACTCATCTCTTTTCAATGCAATAATGCATTAATGTTAATAGAATCTATTGAAATTTTTGGCTCTTATCCCTATCTTTGAATGTGTATATTTTTCTCCCTCACTCTCTCTCTTCCTTTATATGATTGTCTCCTTCCTTGACAGAGGTTTTTTTCCCTCTATTCTGCCATCTTCTGTTAAATGGCTACAAAATGAAATCATTTTTATTTTCTGGTGCCCATCCTGGGGCTTGAACTCAGGGCCTGGATGCTGTCCCTGAGCTTCTTTTATGGAAGGCTAGCACCCTAACTACTTGAGCCACAACTCTACTTCCAGCTTTCTAATAGCCAGGATTACACCAGTACCTAGCCCAAAAATGGAAATTTTATTTAAAATATTCTTTTTTTTTTGGGTCCAGTCGTGGGGCCTGAACTCTGGGCCTGGGCAATGTCCCTCAGCTCTTCAGCTCAAGGCAAGCACTCTACCATTTGAGCCACAGCGCCACTTCCGGCTTTTTTTTTTTCGGCTTACGTGGTGCTAAGGAATCGAACCCAGGGCCTCATGCATGCAAGGCAAGCACTCTACTACGGAGCCACCTTCCCAGCCCTATTTAAAATATTCTTTAAAAAGAAAAAGCCAGATGCAAGGGCTCATGCCTGTACTCCTGGCTACTCAGGAGGCTGAGATCTGAAGATCACAGTTCAGAGCCAGCCTGGGCAGAAAAGTCCCTGTGAGCCCACTCAAAAACTGGAAGTGGCCGGGCGCCGGTGGCTCACGCCTGTAATCCTAGCTACTCAGGAGGCTGAGATCTGAGGATCGTGGTTCAAAGCCAGCCCGGGCAGGAGAGACCATGAGACTCCTATCTCCAATAAACCACTAGAAAACCGGAAGTGGCGCTGTAGCTCAAGTGGTAGAGCTCACGCCTTGAGCTGAAGAGCTGAGGGACAGCGCCCAGGCCCAGAGTTCAAGCCCCACAACCGCCAAAAAAAAAAAAAAAAACTGGAAGTGGCACTGTGGCTAGCAATACTGCAGATTACCTTTTAAAAAACTAGATATTTATTTCCATCCACTATTTTCAACTCTTTACTGGTCCATCCACGCTAGTATAATAAATCAAGGTGAATGGGAACTGTGAGGTAGTTTTGGAAAAAAAAAAAAAAAGGTAAGTCTTCTATTTGTGAAAAGAAAATACCTTGGAGGCTAGGAATGTGGTTTTGTGGTGGAGGGCTTGCCTAGCATAAATGAAGCCCTGGGTTGGTTACCACATACACAGAAGAAGCTGGAAATGGCACTGTGGTTCAAGTGGTAACTTGCTAGCCTTGAGCAAAAGCAGCTCAGGGACATTGGCCAGGCCCTGAAGTCAAGCCCCAGGACTAGCAAAATAAAAAAAATACCTTGGATTGGAGGCATAGCTCAGTTGGTAGAGTACCATCCAATGAGCAAAGCATCAGGTTCTGAGTTGGAGTGCTAGTCAGGAAACAAAAATAAGAAAAAAAAAAAAGCCCAAAGAAACAGATGGGATCTTCTGGGGGGAAAATATTAGTGCTTAGAGTCCTTTTTCTTTTGGTCAGTTGTGGGGCTTGAACTTTGGGCCTGGGCTCTGTCTCTGAGATCTTTTGCTCATGGCTAGTGCTCTATCACTTGGAGCCACAGCACCACTTCCAGTTTTCTGGTGGCTAATTAGAGATGAGTCTCATCAACTTTCCTGCCTGGGCTGGATTTAAACCACAATCCTCAGATCTTAGCCTCCTGAGAAGCTAGGCTGGAGATAAAACATTTGCTAGGTGTCAGGGTCTCATGCTTTAATTCTGCTCAGAAGGCTGAGGATCATAGTTCAAAGCTAGCCTGGGCAAAAAAGACCATGAGAATCTTACCTCCAATTAGCTTAATAAAAAGCCAGAAATGACATTGTGGCTCTAAGTGGTAGAGCACTAGCCTTGAGCAAAAAAGCTCAGAGACAGTGTTTAGGCCCTGAGTTTAAGCCCAATGACCACAAAACAAAACACTTAAAGATAGCACTAGCGTATGATCTAGAAATTCCACTTCTATGTATATGTACAAAAATAATTAAAGAGCTAGGAATGTGGTTTAGTGGCTTAGAGTGCTTGCCTAGCACACATGAAGCTGTGGGTTCCTTAGTAACATACACAGGAAAAGCCAGAAGAGGCGCTGTGGCTCACTCAAGTGGTAGAGTGCTAGCCTTGAGCAAAATAAGCTCAGGGACAGCTCAGGCCGAGTTCAAGCTCCAGGACTAGGAAAAAAAAAAAGAAAAGACAAGACTCAAATGTTAGAACAGCATTCTTGAAAATAGTCAAAAGGGAAAACCACCAAAGTGTTAACAAATAAATGGTCAAATAAAAAAGTGGTTTAGGGCTGGGAAGGTGGCTCAGTGGTAGAGTGCTTGCCTTGCATGCATGAGGCCCTGGGTTCGATTCTTCAGCACCACATAAGCAGAAAAAGCCGGAAGTGGCACTGTGGCTCAAGTGGTAGAGGGCTAACCTTGAGCTGAAGAGCTGAGGGACAGCACCCAGGCCCAGAATTCAGGCCCACAACCATTACCCCCAAAATAAGGTAAGCTGAAGCACTTAATACTTTAATAATTCTGAAAAATACATCAAGCCATATACATGTATTAGCATAAAAGTGCTACAATATGTTGGTAAGCGAATAAACCAACTTGTCCAAATGATATCATAGTCTATGTAAGTGTAATAGTCGCAAAACACGTGTTTGAAAAAAATTAACTGAAGATCTGGCAGTGGTTACTTCCACAGAAAGTTATGGATGTCGAAGTGTAATATTTGGGGTTTTTATAATAAGAATGCACTTCTGTATAATTTAATAGACATTTTAAAAATCAAAGGGCTATGTGATAAAGGTAATGAAGCCTTCACAAGGTTATTAATTTTGTAATACACTTGTTTTTTTCTTTTCAGAATCAGGATTTAAATAGAGCTAAAATTTTCAGATTGAGTCCAATATACATAAGAAATTATGTCGCCTAAAGCTAATTACATTATAATACAATTTATGCTCTCAATGTCATATCAATAAAAATATGCTTTATATATCTACATAAATAACAGCAGATTTAGAAACAGGTTAACAATTTGATTTGGGTAAGTAAAACTTACGTTTCAAAAAGGGCAAAAATAAATAGAACCACAAAAAACAGGACATTAGTGGCCACAACTGCAACTTGATCAATATTTCTTTGGAGAATGTGAGGTTCATCTGTACTTGCTATAAGAAAAAAGAAGAAAAAAAACACATATCATTTTTCTCATGATGCTAAGATAGTATGGAAATTTCTTACAAATTCTGTGAATAAACAATCACTTTTAGGTTTCTTTTTTTTAGTGTGTATGCCAATCCTGGGGCTTGAATTTAGGACCTGGGCACTGTCCCTGAACTTTTGTGCTCAAGGCTTGGTCTTCTACTATTTGAGCTGCAGCTCCATTTCTGGCTTTTTTTTGGTAGTTAACTGGAGATTAAGGGTCTCATGGACTTTCCTGACTAGGCTCGCTGCAAACTATGATCCTCAGATCTCAGCCTCCTGAGTAGTTAGGATTATAAGTATGAGTCAAGGCTGCCTGGCACTTTTAGGTTTCAAAGCAGTTTAAAAGTAACAAGATTTAGGGACTGGAAAGGTGGCTCAGTGGTAGAGTGCTTGCCTTGAGCTGAAGAGCTGAGGGGTAGCACCCAGGCCCAGAGTTCAGGCCCTACAACCAACAAAAAAAATAAAATAAAAAGTATGCAATATTCTGCTGGGAAGGTGGCTCAGTGGTAGAGCGCTTGCTTTGCATGTATGAGGCCCTGGGTTCGATTCCTCAGCACCACATAAGAAAAAAGAAAAAAGCTGGAAGTGGCGCTGTGGCTCAAGTGGTAGAGCAGTAGCCTTGAGCTGAAGAGCTGAGAGGGACAGCGCCCAGGCCCAGAGTTCAGGCCCCACGACCAGACTTCCCCCTTCCTCCCCCCAAAAAAAAAGTTTGCAAGATTCTATTTCAACTAATTAAAAAAATTATATGGAAATAATATTATTGTAATTAAGGATATTAAGAACTGCTTGAAATAGAAAAGATACACTTGGAGCAAAGTTACTGCACTCCAAAGATCTAAAAGGACAGGCACGGATGGCTCATGTCATCCTAGCTACTCAGGAAGCTGAGATCTGAGGATCATGGTTCAAAGCCAGCTCGAGCAGGAAAATCCGTGAAACATTTCTCGCTAATAAACCGCCAGAAAACTGGAAGTGGTGCTGTGGCTCAAGTGGTAGAGTGCTAGCTTTGAGCTCAAGAGTTCAGGGACAGCACCCAGGCCCAGAGTTCAAGCCCCACGACCAAAAAAAAAAAAGCAAAGATCTCAAAGGTTCTAGGGTAGTGGATCCCTGAAAATAAGACAATTTTTTTTTGCGTGGGGAGGCAGTACTATGGATTTGAACTCAGGGCCTCCCAAGTTGCTAGGAAGGTGCTCTACACTCCAGCCCCTGTGTTTTTCAAAGACAGTCTCAAATGCAGGCCCTACTACTTCTGCCTTCTGTATAGCTGGCATTACAAGTGTGAACCACAGGTATGCTTGGCCCAATCAATTTTTAGCAATGACTGACTGTAATTTTCCAATCATGAACACCAAATAACTGATAAGTGCAAGTTTCTTTTAAAAACCATTTACTTTTCACCCTTGAACATGTTTCCCATACCCACTGTTTGTCCTCAGATGCCAAATCTAAATAAACATCAGACAGAATAATTACACACATTTCAATAATGTCAATAGGCTAACAGTACCTTCCTCAAAATTAGTATTTTTACACTGTTGTCCTGAGTCATTCACACGATGTTCTCTTAAAAAGAAAAATATAACATATTATAAATGTGTGGAAATCTCTATATATAACTAATGTAAGTTAATTTTTAAGGAAATAGTGTTTATACCATACTTAATATAAAACAAATGGTTTATTACTAGCATTTTCCACATTCTAATATAGTTTCTTTAATAGCTTCTGACATTACTACTGGTATGAATTTAACTTATGAACTTAAAAAAATAAAAGCATATATATATATTCCCCCCAGTAGTGGGGTTTTAATCCAAGCCTTGTACATGCTAATGCTACCACTTCAGGCATGCCCCAACTCTTTTTATTTCAGGATACTTTTTTAGCTAGGCACCCCAGTTTTTGTTATTGGCTAGCCCAGGCATGTTTTTTTCCTTATGGCCTTTCAATTCGATAAAGCACTTTGAAGTGACACAAACTGGCCAGAAGCCCATGGCTCATGCCTGTAACCTTAACTATTCAGGAGGCTGAGAACTAATGATTGTGGTTTGAAGCCAGCCCAGGCAGGAAAGTCCCAGAAACTCTTATTTCCAATAAACTACTCAGAAGTGCACTAGCTTTGACTACAAGAAGTTTAAGGACACTGCCCAGGCCAGGACAGGAAAAACAAAAAACACACAAAGTGACAAAACTTTCCTAGTTGTTGAAATTTCTAATATACATAAAAGATACAAGTAACCTGGGTATGTAAGGGAGAAACTAAGCCTTTAATCTACTTGAAATGTTGCTTTCATGGGGCTGGGAATGTGGCTTAGTGTTAAAGAGTGTTTGCCTAGCATGCATGAAGCCTTGGGTTCAATTCCTCAATACTGCATACACAGAAAAAACTGGAAGTGGTGCTATGCCTCAGGTGGTAAGAGTAAAAGCCTTGAGCAAAAAAAAAAAAAAAAAAAGAAGCTCAGGGACAGCACTCAGACCCTCAGTTCAAACCCCAGGACTGACAGGAAAAAAAGGCTGGAGACTGGATTCATCCCATTGTCCTACTCAAAACACACAGTAAATCAAGACCAACGCTTACTCTAGTGGCTCATGTCTGCAATCCTTGCTACTCAAGAGGCTGATATCTAGAATTGCAGTTCAAAGCCAGGCCAAGCAGGAAAGTCTGAGAAACTTATCTTTTTTGGTTACCAGGCTTGAACTCAGGGCCAGGGCGCTGTTGCTGCTCAATTTTTTGCTCAGCCTCCTGAGTAGTTAGGATTACGGGACATGAGCCACTAACATCCTGACTTGGGAAACTCTTACCTATAATTAAGCAATCATTAATTTTTAACTAAATGGGATGTGGAGCTGTGGCTAAAGTGGTAGAGCACCAGCCTTGAGCACAACAGCTAAGAAACTTCATGGGGTTATCCTTCAATAATGACATAACTTACTACATTTCACAATCTACCAAAGAAGCTTACCATATCCACCTACTTACCTTAAAATAGTAATAATCAGAATAATATTTAAAATTCCCAGGAAGGCACCAAGTAAAACCGGTGCTGTATACATGTTTATCTGCAGCTTAATCGTATCCCATGTCACACCCTTTTCTCCAATGAGTACAAAACAGGTCTGAAAAACTAATTGAAATGTACACAGATGAATATGGGAGGCACAGGCCAAATATATGCAAAGACATCACAGAACTGGAGATAACACCATTATACATTCTCAACAGAGCCAATGGAAAAGTTGAGATACTGATATTCATGTATATCTCCTGTAATTTGTATCTTTCAAACGCGTGCATGCGCACGCACACACGTACATACACACACACACACACACACACACACACACACACACACATTCTCATTATTCACAGGTTTTTATACTTGGGTTACATTTAACATTTTAACCTCAAAGGTTTTCCTCATTCAAACCTAAGAAATACTAATTTGAGACACCTACCTGGCCCTAGAATGAAGCCTAGTGCTTGACATGTACTTGTATTTGCCATGGACCCCGTTCTCTCCTCAAGAGAAGTAGCACCAGCAATATATGATCTGACAACTGCTACATTCCCTATAGAGAAATACAATAATCTACAGTAAAAAAAAAAATCTTTCAATTTATAAAATTCAATGTAATTTGGTTTTAAGCATGAAAAAAATATTGGCTAACACTACTGTTTCCTCTTTATTTTTATTTTTGTGGGTCGTGGGTCTGAACTCTGGGCCTGGGTGCTATCCTTCAGCTCAAGGTGAGCGCTTTACCACTTGAGTCACAGCGCTACTTCCAGCTTTTTCTGTCTATGTGGTGCTGAGTAATTGAACCCAGGGCCTTATACATGCAAGGCAAGCGCTCTACCACTGAGCCACCATCCCAGCCCATTTCCTCTTTATGATCATACAAATAATGTAAGATATCTTTATTGGACAAATTAATGAATATAGTGTTTTTACTAAAATAAGAATTTTTTTCAATGACAGTATTTTCATTTTTTTAAAGAATTTTAAAAATTAAAGCTATCAAAGCTGTTTTAATCAGAAAACCGTATTTATTGAGAAAGCAAACAAATGATTGTGACAATTTTTTTTTTTTTTTTTGGGTCAGGTCGTGGGGCCTGAACTCTGGGCCAGGGCGCTGTCCCTCAGCTCTTCAGTTCAAAGCTAGCTCTCTACCACTTGAGCCACAGCGCCACTTCCGGCTTTTTTCTTTTTGCTTATGTGGTGCTGAGGAATGGAACCCAGGGCCTCATGCATGCAAGGCAAGCACTCTACCACTGAGCCACCTTCCCAGCCCCAACAACTTTTTTAATAGCCTACCTACACTCCCTACCTACACTGGGGGCTTGGATGCATGCATGCTTGCTTGCTTGGCCAGCACTCTACCATTTAAGCCAATGCTGAATGTCAAACACTGGTGGTTCATGCCTGTCATCCCAGTTACTCAGAAGGCTGAGATCTCAGGATTGAGGTTCAAAGCCAGCCCAGGCGGAAAAGTCCATGAAACTACAATTAACCATCCAAAAAAGCCAGAAGTGGAGCAGAAGCTCAAGTGGTAGAGCCCCAACTTTGAGCACAAGAAGCTCAGAGGGCCAAGACTCTGAGTTCAAGCCCCAAGACCAACACACATATACACACAAAGAAGTAACAATTAACAAACTCTAAAAGTATCTTCAAAAGACTGCTTAAAAGTATCAAAAACTGTCTCTTAACTACAAAAGGCTTATTGTCTAATTTATGACCAAGAATGAAAAGAACAGAAGACTATAAATGCCAGAAATAGACAAGTTAAAGCTCTACTAAGGGGTAAGATGGCCTGAGATGGCTCCATGTAAGAATTAGAACTTAATATCTTGAAGGATGAAGAACCATGAGAACAAAAGAGAGACCAACAGGGAACAGAGACATTATGATCAAAGGAAAACTGAGAAGGAAAGAAGTAAGAGGAGAGGGCCATAAAAGTTAGGATGAATGTGAACTGAACACAACAAATATGTACATGCAAATACGTTACCTGCTCCGAAACCCATCAGTGCCCGAGCCATCAACATGTAGTATTTATTGTGGGCAGCTGGGACATGGACATATGCATACAGGCAATTGGCTGCCACCGAAATAAAGATGGAAACAATAAGAGGTTCTCTTCTTGGCCTATAATTAGACCATAAACCAAATAAAGGTGAAGCTACCATTTGGCCAAGACTAAATGAAGCAATAACCCAGCCCAAAAAACTTGCGTCAGCGGTCTGATCAATCTGCAGAGAAAAGCACAATGTTTTAGGAACTGCTATCCAAGAAAGGATTTTGCCCTTTGACAATTATAAAACAACTGTAAACATTTATATGTACATTTTTATGTGGACATAAGCTTTCAAATCAGTTGGACAACTGATTGCTACATCATGGAGAAAAACTATAATTAGCTAGGTAAGAAACTATCAAACTGTACTGTTTGCATTCCTATCAGCAAATCTTTCTAGTACTTTTGTTGAAACAATCTAATTATACTAACTACTAGGGTAAGTTAAGTAAACTCTAAACATACAACATGGAATGTTACAACATTCCATGGTAAGTATTAATGATTACAAAGACATGGAAATAAAGTTGTCTCTTGTTATCCATAGGGTACAAAAGTTGTAGGACTCCTGAAGATATCAAAATTAGCAGATCTGTAAGTCCCTTGTATGAAATGTATTTGTATACCCCTACCCATTCTCAGCCCTTTATTATACTGCCTAATACAACACCAAGGCTATGCGAGTAGACGGAATAACGGCAAGGAAAAATCAGTCTATGTACAGTTTGTACAGAAGAGTTTTTTTTTCCTTTTGCAAATATTTTCAATCTGTAGATGAATCACAAATGTAGAATCAGAGGATAAAGGTGGCCAATTATATACAGAAACCCCCAAGCTGAGGAGGTGACACTAGAGCAAAGGCTTCAAGAATAAATAAAAGGTAGCCTTGAGCACAAAAGCTCAGGGACAGTGCCCAGGACCTAAGTTCAAGCCCCAGGAACCACACCCCCACCTCAAAAAGAAAAAAAACAGAATTAGAGTTAGGAGAAAAGCCAGAAGAGCAATGTCATTAAAGCACTGAAGTTAAAGATGGAAAGAACTACAATGTTAAACACGATGTGTATGCCACCTCAAGTAAGGGCTAAAAACTATATTAAACATAAACAGGCTGCTTTTCTTGTCATTATCCTCTAAAAAACAATTTGGTTAATATTTATATATTAACACTGTACTAGGTATTACATGTGAAGCACATGAAAGATGTAAGTAGACCACATGCAGACACTGCATCATTTTATACAAAGGACCTGGGCATACGCAGATTTTGGTACCCTTTGTGGGTCCTAAAAACCAATCTGCTAGAATAGCAAGAGGCAAATATATATTATTCTTAACAATTTTTTTTTTTGTCTGTCATGGGGCTTGAACTCAGAGCCTGGGTACTGTCCCTAAGCATTTTTACTCAAGGTTAGTGCCACTTTAAGCCACAGCTCCACTTCCAGTTTTCTGGCAGTTAACTGGAGATAGAGTCTCACGGACTTTTCTGTCTGGGCTGGCTTTGGACCATGGTCCTCAGATCTCAGCCTCCTGAGTAGCCAGGATGACAGATATGAGCCTCAGGCACCTGGCTTTCACAATCTTTTCTGAGAACCCAAATTAATTATATGGGAAAAACATGAAATGATTCTGCATAAATATCACCTGTGCATTTTGGGAGTTTGGACTATTTCTAGTTTAGTTTCCTTTTTATTAGGAATTGGTAATAATGGGATGTAAAAGTGACTTATAAATAGATGATCAGATATCTTCTTTTGCCTGTTTCAGATATAATCATATTCTCCTAGCATAACACACTTTTTTCTTAAATAATTTTTTATTCAGATTGATTACATAAATTTCACAAATTTCACAGTATTGTGGGATAGTGATACTTAAAAAGTCACAAACACATTTTAACCTTCACAAGGCAAATTATCATTATCATGGTCTATAAAGTTTGTGAATTCTATGAGCAACACACTTTTATATCAATACTATTATTTACACAATAAAGTATATGCTAACCATACTACTGTTTCTTTTGAGAAATTATCTGTTATTCTAGTATAAACTACGGAACATTAACGAAACTCTCTAAGATGCTTACCTAGGTAAGAGTTAACTCTACTACAGTCACTTAAGAGAAGAACAGACTGAAATGCACAAACCTTGTGGAGGTATGGCCATATTGACATTATCACAATAGAAAACCCTGTGATAGGGAAAACTTCATTAGTTATGACAATATAATTGCTACTATAGATACGATTTTTAAAAGTATATTTTAAAATATTGTGAACCTATAAATACACACATACAAACTGCCTAACTTATAAAGAAAAAGATTTTAGTTAATAGAAGAAAATACCAAATACAAAACAACAGAAAAGGTCAGATAAGTTGATGTTAGGTGAAATGTACCCCAAGATAAGTATTCAAATGTTTTTGCTTTCATGCAATTGTTTCTAACATATTTATAAGATGATTTCTTTGTTGCTTTGTATGTCCCTCCCCCACGGTATAACCCCTGCTTTCACTGTATTTCATGTTGGTATAATTTGTGGAGGGGAAGGGAAAAAACAAATCATTTAACTAGGGATACAGGTGGACCCATGAGATGTACACATCCTTATGTTGAAAAACAAACTTTACAACTTTGGTGAGGGGCAAGGGGGGCGGGGGGATGGGAAGGGGAAACAAAGGAGGAGGCAACAATGCTTGATAAGAAATGTACTCATTATCTTGCCCATGTAATTGTAACCCCTCTGTATGGTATTTTCACAATTAAAAAAAAAAAAACTCTATAAAGACTGATATACTAAGCCAGGCCCTGGTGGCTCATGACTATTATAATCCTAGCTACTTAGAAGGCTGGGATCTGAGGATCATGGTTCAAAGCCAGCCTGGGCAGGAAAGTCTGTGAGACTCTTATCTCCAATTAACCACCAGAAAACCAGAAATGTCACTGTGGCTCAAGGTAGTAGAACCCTACCCTTGAGCATAAAGAACTCTGGGATAGCATCCAGGCACTGAGTTCAAGCCCCATGACCAACAAAAAAATAAAAATTAAAAAATTAAAAGCCAGTGCAGAGGCTCATACTTTTATCCTAGTTACTTAGAAGGCCAAGACTGGGATGACTGAAGTTCAAGGACAGTCCAGGCAAAATGTTCTCAAGACCCCATGTGAACAGTAAAAAACCGAAAATGGTGCTCTATGACTCCTTCCAGCTTCATGGGGAGCATACACAGCAGCCTTGTAATCCTGGCCAGTCCAAACAAAATGTGAATCCCTACTTGAAAAATGGTGCTCTATGACTCCTTCCAGCTTCATGGGGAGCATACACAGCAGCCTTGTAATCCTGGCCAGTCCAAACAAAATGTGAATCCCTACTTGAAAAATAGCAAAAAGGACTAGAGGCATGGCTCCCGCCGTACAGTGCCTAGCAATGACCAGGCACGGTAGACTCCTCTACGTCTGGAGTTCAAACTCAAATACTGCCCAAACAAAAACAGGACAGAGGCCATAGTCTAGATCTGACAGCAGACAGAAGCCAAGCCGCTGCTCCCAGGAGAAGTGACAGGAAGCTAGATGGTATCACTTCACAGGACAGTAACTCTCAGATCAGATCAGTTGGTTATTAACAAGTTACCAGAAAAGGTAGCAAACACACATCACACTGGCTCCTTAATAAAAGAAGTTCTTGGGAGAATAACTTAAGGATGTAACCATTAAGGTGGATATTTGCCAGAAGAAACATCTTTTTGAGGAGCAAGCTAGGTCCTATTTCACTGCATTTTACAAAGTAGTTGTGTGGTGGTTTATACTTATTAACAAAAGCAGTGGCCTAATGGATGGATCATGAATACAGTGTACTACTATTTAGCTTTATAAAGGAAATTCTAACACTGGTAAACTTTGAGGACATTATGTGAAATGATATGAGCTAGTCACAAAAAAGTAAAAGATTTGTGATTCCATTTTTGTGGTCAAATTCATAGAAATGGAAAGTAGGATAGTGTTTGCCAGGGTTGGGAAAGGAGGAAGTAAGGAGTTAATTTGATTATAATGTTTCAGTTTTGAGAGATGAAAGGTTTTATAGATTATATAGCAATGTTAATATATTTAGTACTACTGAACTAAGGTATTAAATGAGTAAAGAATATTTTATAATTTTTTAAATGTGTAATTTCTAAAACTTACCTACACTGCTGAGAAACATAGTAAGATATAGAACCCTAATAGATCTCCACCGGCTCTTATAGTGTTCTTCAGTTTCTGTAACATCCCATTCTCTAGATACAAAGAAGAAAAAGGTAATACAGGTGAGCATCAATAATTGAAAATCCAAAATACACTAAAATCTGAAACTTTTTGAGAAATGATACTCTAAGTGGAAAGTTCTACACCTGATCTTACATGACAAGTAGTCAAAACACAAATGTAGCCAGGCCAGTGGCTCACACTTGTAATTCTAGCAAGTCAGGAGGCTGAGATCTGAGGATCACAGTTCAAAGACACCCCAAGCAGGAAAGTCCATGAGACTCTTATCTCCAGAAAACTGGAGATAAGAAAACTGGAAGTGGCACTGTGGCTCAAGTGGTAGAGCACTAGCCTTGAGTTGAAGAACTCAAGCACTGCACCCAGGCCCAAAGTTCGAGCCCCATGACCACCAACACCACAAAAAAAAATATATTGTCTAGAATTATCTTCATATATTCCAAAATTGGGAAAATCCAAAGTCTGAAACACTTTTGTTTCTAAGCACCTTAAATTTATAAGGTTGAATATACATGTTGAATATAAATGTTTAAAGCATTTTTATATAGTAGTAATTTTTTCTTCTCTAAAGTCATTAAAATGAAGCTGGTAACTCCTGGCTCAGGCTGTAATCCTAACTACCAAGGAGGCTGAGAAATGAAGATCATGGTTCAAAGCCAGCTCAGGCAGGAAAGATTCTTATCTCCAACTAGCCACCAAAAAGCTGAAAGTGGCACTGCAGCTCAAGTGGCAGGGCGCTAGCTTTGAGTACCAAAGCTCTGAGACAGTGCCTAGGCCCTGAGTTCAAGCCCCAGGACTGGCAGGGAATAAACCATATGACAGGCTCATCAATAATACGCTCTTTTCTGCTACACTTGTTCATCTCTGAGTAAGATTTTTTTTAACGTTTTCTCAGATTGCATTTGTGTGTCATTGTATACAATACTTGAAAGACACAAGATGGCTTTATAAAGAAAAGACAGTCTGGGAAGTTGGCTCAGAGGTAGAGTGATTGCCCAGCATGCATGAAGCCCTGGGTTCCATTCCTCAGTACCAGACACAGAAAAGGCCGGAAGTGGCGCTGTGGAAGAGCACTAGGCTTGAGTGAAAAAAGCTCAGGGACAGTGTCCAGGTCCTGAGTTCAAGCCCCAGGACTGGCAACAAAAAAAAAGAACCGTTCGATCCTGTCTGGTCTCACTTTAAGGCACACACAAAACAAGTGCATAGCTGGGAGAAAGCAGGGAGGGATGGGACTGTCCAAAAAGAAGTGCCCTCGTCACCTGACTTCTGTACCCTAACCCTCCTACACATTACGTTTCTTTTTACTTTGCCGGTCCTGGGACTTGGACCCAGGCCCGGGCGCGGTCTCTGCGCTCTACCACGGGAGGCACAGCGCCACTAATCGGAGAGACGCGTCTCCCGGGCTTGCTGGGCAGGTTTTGAACCCTGACCTTCAGACTCGGCCCCCGAGCTGCTAGGGTCACGGGTGCGCGTCCCCGGCGCGCGGCGGCGAGCCGCGG